GTCGGTATTATGCGAGTCAATGTAGAGAAAGTCTTGGAACGTGATCAAAAACTATCGGAATTGGGCGAGCGAGCTGATGCATTGGAAGCTGGTGCATCACAGTTTGAGCAACAAGCCGGTAAATTGAAACGCAAGCAGTGGTGGGCCAATATGAAAATGATGATCATTATGGGTGTGATCGGTGTGGTGCTCTTAATTATCATAATTGGTGAGTACATACAATTTTGTTTTACTAGTTCTATACATTGATTAACAATAATTTAGTTCGTATAGTATGGGATTTTAATTCATACATCTCAATATGGCTTATAACATTTGGACTGTGATGGAATTTGCTTAGGAGATTTTAGAAACAGCTTGATCGTTTGAATAGTTGAAGATGTGTATTATTTGGTTTCTAATCACTGCTTTGCGTATTTTCACTATTTTATATTTACATACATATTTAGTTTTTAATTTTTAACTATAAATAGGCCTTTTTGCAAGTCAAATTTAAAATTTATCTGCCCTTAAACACACATTTGTTGACCTCAGAAATGTGTTTGAAGGCCAGATATATTTCTGTGTTCGTGTGGGATAGTAACTTATGTAGGCAAGCTGGCTTTTGTATAATGCGGCATTCCCTTTATTCTTTAAACGACAAAGAATTTTTTGATGAGACTTAATAAAAACATTGACCTGTTAGTATCGGAACTATTTTTTGCACGGTTATTTGCAAAAAGTTCTTCGACGGCTCGGTGCCAGTAAATCATTCGCAATGGCCGCAGTATACTAAAGCCAGCCTTTCGACATAAGCTACTATTCCATTGGAACACAGATTTTAAAAGCTGCTTGAGAAAATTATTATTTGTTTTTTGAAGATGCTAAATAGGTAAATTTCAAACATCACATACTCCTAACCACTTTCTATTCATTGGTCATTGTAACGCAAATTTTTAGTTTTTGAGTTTCAGGGCCGTTTTTACAGTGCAGATATAACCATCTACATTCGTTAGTTAACTTTCGTTTTACGTTACGTAAGTTACAAGTTAACTGCTGAACAAGAGTTACCTCGCACTGTGATAACGGCTCTTAATATTTCATACTCTCATCACAACTACTTATGCTTTAGTATTTTGTTATTTATTTACGTATAACCCTCAGTCTAAACTATTCTCATAACCACTTAGCAATTCATCTGTGCCGTATATCAAACTTTATTAGCCGTTTTTGCTTCAAATCGATCATTTTCTGTTGAGCTGATTTTCTCTTCCAAGCTTATTAACTACTCCATAGGGATTATAAAAGAAAAAAAAGCCATTGAGTATTTTTTTAATGTAGGCGAATGATACTTGCGATGAAATATTTATTGTTATATTGCTACGATTTCCGCTGCTGGTAGCGCTGGTGAAAACGTAGTGATGTAAATTATTGATGCCTGGTGACAGATGTGTTTGCTTACATGACGTGACAGTGTCGTTCTATCCGTCAAGTTGTACTTGGGTTGACTCGTCCTCTGACATCCCACGAGGAACTATTTAGACAGCAGTTTTTTATTTCCTTTACCGGCCATTCTCCAAGCACCTGCTTGCAAACGACTAGGGGACTTTTATTCAGCTTATAAGTTTATTGTGGTGTGCGCCAACAAGGATAAGGGGCTATCGAAAGTAACACCGAATATCTCTGATTGACAGTCGGAATTTTGACTCTATCGACGTCCATGTTCTTGTCCTTCGTACAGGTGGTAAAAAGTGTGGCTGCCATGTTTTTGGAGGTTACTCATATTGAAGAATCTGACTAGGTCCTCGAGGTGGTCGTTGAGCTTCTGACACATGTCGCTGCTTGTTGCCATTAGTGAGCAGTAATCTACTTAGGAGAAGATGAGACACACTTTACTGGTGGCGGGATTTTTAAGGGATACAGTTTGAACAAAGTGTCAAATGTTACCTCGCCTTGTGCCACACAGTGCTTGATGCTTTGCGGCCGCCTTGTTGTTTTGTTTCGAGAATTTAAAACTGAAGGGTAAAGTGGTCCAAAAATGTATGTAAAAAAAATATGGTCGGATTTTTGATGCCGCCACCCCCTAGGATTGTTATATACCAAAAAAAATATACCCATATTTTTTTATTTTGAAATAAAAAATAATTTAGATAGTGCTCAAAGCGCTCAAAGTTTTCCATGAATTTTATATGGAGAAAAAAACATCTTTTCGTAGAAATAGTGTAGAATTCTTAAAAATCAATATTTTTCGATCGGAAAACTTTACTTATCTTCAGGGGATTCCCAGTAATAATACTCAATTTTACAATTTTTTCATGGTAAACGAACCGCGACAGGATGCCTCCTGATGACGCCTCTACATCACCTTCACGACGAGGCCCAGATACTCCCGGTAAAGGAGCATAACTTAATGCTCTGCAAGCAGTTCCTCGCTGGGAGCTACAGACGTGGCCATCCCAGCGGGCAACTGCTCGCGGAAGAGCCCTCGCCACGGCACGTCAGGAGGCATCTTTACGAACTGACAGACGAAGTCCAGAGGTATATTAAACAACCTCTGGACCCGACAACCTACCGACAGGCCCTCAACGGCATTCACAGGGAATCAGTCTCAAGTTATGTAGACTCCCGCCCTGTGAACGGACGTGGACGGGACAGAACTTTGTCTGCCTCGGGAGACCCGCAGAACAATAGCCCAACTTCGCTCTGGCTATTGCAGCAGGCTCAACAGCTATCTGAGTAGAGTCAACGAGGATGTGGCCAACCAATGCCCGGCATGTGGAGAGTCGCCACATGACTCCCGGCACCTCTTCACATGCCCTGAGAATCCCACTCAGCTAACGCCCCTGTCCCTATGGACAGCCCCTCTGGAAGTAGCACACTTCCTGGGCCTCCCCCTAGCTGAAATAGACGACAACGATGATGGATGAACCGTCCCGAACGGGGCTTAGTAGCCGCTACAACAACAACAACAACTTATTGGCTTGCTAACTGCGCCTTTTACCAAGAAGAGCAGGGATGTAGGATCTCTAAGTGACATTACCAACTTTTGTATAGAATACGTTCCATACAAATTGTGCACAGCTCTTTACAGATTTATAGAAGATGAAAAAAACTTATTATTTGAAAAATCGCAGTTTTAAAAAACGTTTCTTTTGCATTGGTTGGAACGGTATATTTATCTGTCATATCATTAACATTACGGTGGCTTTTAGACTTTTGGTTTGAAGTACTAACAGTTATAACGTCTTCATTCAAATTAAATTTTGTATTGCATTTAATTTCTTTCATATTCGAATGGTGTCAGTTGAATTTATACTTTAGGAGTAAAGCCAAAAATGATATATTTTAAATATACACATGTCTTGACCAAATTTCGTTTTTTGTCACTTCTTTGCTTTTTTATTTACAGTTTTGCTCTTTAATTAATTGGTACCAATTTTCGAAGCCTTTTTGATCAGCATTTTAAGTGCTATGCATAAAACTATATTCGTTATAAGTGTGTGTGTGTGTGTAGTGCTTGTATTTTCCATAGATTTTAGTAAAAACAAATATGCGTAAATTTTGTTTAAGTAGGAAAGCGTTGAGGTTTGCGTTGACACACCACGTCCGTTAGCCATTTTCTATAAAGTGTAAGTAAATCAACGCTAACTCATTAGCCTAAAATTAATTTTTCTAAATCACTACATAGAACATTTGTTTATTTTATATTAAATTTTTTTCTTTACCATTTACAGTTTCCTTCCTGCCATCCAGCGGCAGCAGCCCAAACACGCACAATGAAGTCCAAAACGGTTCTTCTTCACCTTAAACAAGCTCAAATGATTGCAGTGGCCTTGCGGTTCATGATTGTTTTGTTTGAACGCCGTCGAAATCGTGATTTACAAGCACAAAATGCCAGAACACAATCAATATGTATTGAACCGAATTTTTTAAACAGAGCTCTAAAAAAATATCTTAAAACAGTATACAAAAATATATATACATGCATAAATACATATAACTACAATTAATACATATATACAATGTATGCCTTACATATAAAATTGAAATTTGAATGAAATTGTAATCTGATTTGTAAAAGAATTTGTTTGATTTATACGTTTTTTCGTTTTTTTTTTTTATAAAATGGTTAAAGGTCCTTTGTAATGTACGAGCTATTGTGTTGGTGTTTTCGTGTTAAAATTTGTTAGATGAAAAACAGGAAACGCATTACTTTGACGTTTGTGCATGCGAACTTTAAAACAAAATTTGTAAAATTAAATAACATACATTTACACAACTATTTTAGAATGAGGTTTTCTGCGATTTTGAAGTATTTACATTATACACACATACATTTACTAACTTTGTATGAGAAATTTAATGAAACTATTTACATGCATAAATACATATGTATACAAACTTAAAAAAATGTAAACTGTATACATCTGAAATAAATTAAGCAAACTTCTTAAAAACATTAAACGCCTTTTTATTACTATATCACATTGGAAAACTTATTTATTTTTGTAGATAATCGATTTTGCTTAACTTTGTACAAATTTAAAATTAATACTCTTATATTAATAATAAAAACACGAATAGTTAATATGCAATTGAAGGATACAGCTCTGTACTTAGTATACGTTTCATGTAGTTGCAAAATTACTGATTCGTAACACGCTCTATTTGCTCAAATAGTAATACGCACATCGAATAAAGCGTCATGTAGTTCATGTAAAATAGCGTTCCATACATATGAGGACCATATTTGTCCAACCAGACGAATTCCGCACGACTTAGCACTCTCCCACATATTAATATGTACTGAAAATTATAGTTAATAGAAAAGAAAAAAATATAGCACTTTTTTGTTGAAGATATTTTAATAAATTAGTTTCTTTGTTTCGGTTAACTTTTCGTTAACTTTGACAACACTATAATATCTGAGTAACCGTCTGTTCAGAAATGCATCGAGCTCAAGCATCAGGCTCTTATTTCTAAGCTATAATTAATGGAAGTGGCTTATTTGCGCAGCCAAGCTTCAATTCGGCATTTAACAGTGGTTGCGCGTATTGGACATTTCCATCAATTAGAGTTTACAAATAAAAGGCACTGATGCTTTGGCGTGATGCATTTCTGAACAGAGGGATCGTCAGATCTTAACCACTACCATTTAATCTTGTCAAATTATTAGGTTGCTCAATGAAAATTCCTGCAGGTACCCCTCATTCTGCCTTTCACCTGTAAACACTGCAACGCCCTACAAACACTGCACCAATGGTCTTTCTTTCTAGTACTCTAAAGTCCGCAATATGATTACGTTAGTATTTATATGATGAAAACCGAGAAGAAATAATTTGCAGGACAATTCTGGCAACTGCCTTTCAACTCACCACAAGACAATTGTCAAATCTGGCAACTATCTTGAAAGCTCTTTTTGCCTCTCGCAAGACTAATTGAAATATCTGCTAACGAGGAAATTTTACTGTCTTTTGGCAATTAACTAATTTAAAAGAGATCTAAAAAAAGAAAACATAAAATAAAATAGGTTCATGAAAATAAAAAGTTAAAAAAAAAAAATTTCTTTTTAAAACAGTATAACACCGTGCGAGAAAAACCAAAAGTTTCTAAAACACACGAAAAAATCAATATATTCACAAAACTAGGAGCCAAATATAGTATAACTGCGTTTTTAATTTTTCTGTCTGGCGTCAGGGTTTTTTAAAGGACTTTGAAATTTCTAAGATATGATTGAATAAAAAAATTATTTAAAAGATTTGGTGCATTGTAGAGTAAAGATAAGGGTATCAATTAAAACGAAAAATTCTGTAGACTTGAAAAAAACTAACTTTTTTGGTGCATCCTGACGAATAAGTGTTGAAAATTTCCTTTTAAAACTTTATCCTTGAATATCCTTGGAAATTTCCAATATATATTTTTGAATAAAAAAAATATATGTCAAGGACTAATATGTAAACTACCATATCCTCGAATTTCGTCCTTCTAACTGTATTAGTTTTAGATAAAAAAAAATCTATACTTCTCTTTATAAGATGTTGATAGTTACAATAAATGTATATAAATGAAGATACTGGGATCATTACACTGTACAGCACTCGGCTGGGTATTGGACCAAACCGATTTTTTTTTAGAGATTGAGTCATAGGTAAAAAAGTAATTTCTCCGTTTTTCGAAGTTAGCCTCCGAATTCGAGATATGAGCCTTCGAAGTTCGAAATATGACCTTTGGTAAAAAGTGATTTTTCATTATTATATGTAAATAGCTAAAAAACTAAAAATATAGACGTAGTCCGCCTTTTGCTCTTATTTAAATGGTATATAACTTTTTGTGTGCAAGCTTATATTACAGGTGCTATAAGGTCTCAAAGGTCGGCACTTCGAAAAATTAAAAACCTTAGAATTTAAATAATTTTGAACTGATTTTAAAAAATATGGCATGGTTGTAAACGTGATTAAACCCCCTTTCTTCTGATATGCATATTTGTATACTTCGTATTTAAAAATTTGAGACAATCATTTAAAGGGGAAAAATACTTTTTTTTATAAAAATACTTTTTTTTATAAAAAAAATATTTTAAACACAAAAATTACAAACCGATAAAAAAAATGATATCGTTGTAAAAGCAATCAAACCTTTCTTCTAATATGCGTATTGGGGTGCTTCGTATATAAAGAATTGAGAAAAAACACTGCAAAGCAAAACGTATGTATCTTTTATAAAAAAAAATACAAACCGATTTTAAAAAACTTTTGTCGTTGTAAATGATACCAGAAAACTTATACTTTCTTAAACTCAAAAATTTCTTTTTACATTTAAAAAAAAAAAAAAATTATTGAAAAAATTTTGTAGCTATCAATGTCATATAAAGAGAAGTGTAAAACTAATAAAGTTAGAAGGACGAGATTCGAGGATGTAGTAGTTTACATATTAGTCCTTGACATATTTTTTTTTTCAAAAATAAATATCGGAAATTCTCAAGGATATTTAAGGATAAAATTATAAAAAAAGACATTTTCAATACTTATTCGTCCAGGGGCACCGAAAAAATTAATTGTTTTCCTATTCTACAGATGTTTTTCTTTTAATTGATACTTAATTGATTGTTATTGTACAATGCACCCAATCTTTTGAATAATTTTTTTATTCAATCATATTCTAGAAATTTCAAAGTTTTTCAAAAAAATCCTGACGTCAGAGAGAAAAACTAAAAACGCAGTTTTACAATATTTGGCCCCAATTTTGTGAATTTATTGATTTTTTCGTGTGTAATTTTCCAATTAAAAGAAAAATAAATTAAGAAAAAAAATAATAATTAAGTTCCTAAAAATTAAATGAAATAAAAACAAATCTTTATTTTTAATTTAAGTTTCTCAAAAAGAAGAAAAGAAGAAAAATTTCCCTTTTAAACCAAACAAACCTAAAAATTAAGTTAAACAAGAAAAAAAACAAAAATGAAATCAGTACCTAATTTTTTCACATATTTTTTTGAACAATAAAATTCAAAAATTAAAAGATTATTAAATTAAAAACGGAGAAAAAAACTAAATAAAATATATAAAAAATCCGCTGCCCGAGAATTCGATCTCGGATCTATCGAATGGCACGCCAGTGCTTTGCTCACTCGGTCATGAAACGGGGCAAGGGAGCTTTTTTTTATGAGGCTTTCGAAACAGAAAATATCAAAGAAGAAAACAATTCTTTCGTTATCAAATGAAGAATACTTACAATTGACATAAAGAATATCATTATCAATGTCAGAACCATATCGAAATACGGGCTTTTCAACGATATCGCGACTATAATGCCCATTGAGGTGACTACAAAACATCGACCAGTCCAAATGAATATAAATTCTGGCTTGTGCAAAATGTAATCCTGTGAATTGAAAAAAAAGAGAAAAGCAAGTAGAACATAGGAAGTCATAGCATTAAAAATAATTTTGTTTGGCCAAACGACACATTCAAATACATAACAGATTAAATAGATTTAAACAAAAAAAAAAAAAAAAATGATAACAGCGTTATTTTTTAAAGCATATAAAACCGTTTAAATTTTTAAGAGTGGGCCAACTTTGAAAATTTAAGCGTCCTAAACATTTGCAGTTAGAAGCGTAGTGGCACATAATCCAAATTTATTCGGTTTGACAAGTAATACAATTTCGGGGGTTCACAAGTTGTTAGAACAGTATCATTTCCATAATGTCGCAAATTTAAATGCAGTTAAAATCAGGAACCGGATGAAAAATTTGGTCGGTTCGGTTCAGCGGTTCGAACCGTTGTTGCACTTTTGGATTGGTTCGTCAAAGCGGTTTTTTGGTCTTTGAACCGGGATTTCGGTTCGGTTCAACGGTTCGAAAAACCAAAAAATAACGCGCAAATTTAAGTGTCAATTGTCAAGTGCAACAACGCGCAAGGTTAAGGGTCAAGTGAAATGGGCTGTCTTTACATTTGATATTATCACATGGTAAAAAAACATGGTAGGTATTACCATGTTTAACAAAACGAAAAAAGTGGGTACATTTATCTATTGAAAATTGGTTTAAACGAACCTTTAAACCATTAATGAAAGTGGTTCGGTTTTCGGTTCGGATCAAACATTTGTGGAAAATTTCGGTTCGGTTAATGGTTCAGTTAATTAATAGAAAAAAACGGTTTTCCGGTTCAAAACCGGTTCGGTTCAAAACCGGTTCACGTCCCTGGTTAAAATGTTTGTGGTAGATGTGAAACAAACTAAAACTTTTTTCTGTCTTGTAAACCCCTTAAGTTAACAATTTATATACTTACTTGCCTGCAACACGCCAACACGATGCTGCTTATTATCACAATTGATGAAACTATACTCGAATATACCAAATGCATATTAATGGAAGTGGAAATCGGCATTGCAAAGGCGACAGTGGCAAGCTGAAGCTTTGAAAGAGGGATAACAAATAAATAATTTTTTATTTAGAGCAACTGTTATTACACCTACATATAACTGAAAGAAATG